TGAAAGCCCAGACTTCAACACTACCCAGTATATCCATGTAACAAAATTGCATTTGTACTCCTTAAATGTATAGAAATAAAATAACTAAATGAATAAAATTTCAAAAAAATAAAATTTCAAAAAATCTTGAGTACTTGTTCTTGAATTAATTCTCAGCCAAAATAGGGATACTGAAAATAATGATCTCTAACATTCTGTCACATGTGTTTTAAAGTAATTTCACCCAGGTGTGGTGGTTCATGCCTGTAATCCTGGCATTTTAGGAGGACGGGGTGGGAGGATCACTTGAGCCCAGGTGTTTGAGGCCAGCCTGAGCAACATAGTGAGGCCTCGTCTCTACAAAAATTAGCCAGGCCTGATGGTGGGCACCTGTAGTCCCAGCTACTTGGAAAGCTAAGGTGGGAGCCCAGGATGTAGAGGCTGCAGTGAGCCATAATTGCGCCACTACACTCCAGCCAGGGCTGTTGCAAGATCTTGTCTCAAATTTAAAAGTATTTTTTAAAATAAAGAATTTCAATGAAATTTTAGGAAATATACTTTTTATCAACATGGATGCTTTTGTCATCACCTTCTTCATATACATACGCCTTATTATAATCCATCAGTGTCTGCTTATTACAAGACCAGTTCTGTTTATGAGTTATACAAAGTGGATCTACTAACCAAAAGCATTCCTTGAAACTTTGCTAGCCTGATCTCTGAAAAGGAAGCAGTTACTCTTCCTTACCTTTGGAAAGAACATCTTATAAATGAACAAGAGAGATAGAACAAACACAAATAAATCACATGAATGACAGAGATAGACATACATCTGAACTGACTCTATAAAAGAATTGCTTGGTTGAAAAGGTGTATGGAGCTGGGCATGGTGGCTCACGCCTGTAATCCCAGCACTTTGGGAGGCTGAGGTGGACGGATCATGAGGTCAGGAGTTCAAGGCCAGCCTGTCCAATATGGTGAAACCCTGTATCTACTAAAAAAAATACAAAAATTAGCCGGGCATGGTGGTGCACACTTGTAGTTCCAGCTACTCGGGAGGCTGAGGCAGGAGAATTGCTTGAACCCAGGAAGCGAAGGTTGCAGTGAGCCAAGACTGTGCCACTGCACTCCAGCCTGGGCGACAGAGTGAAACTTCATCTCAAAAAAAAAAAAAAAAAAAAAAGGTGCATGGTATTTTTGTTCTGTGTCAATGTAGCTAAGCTGGAACTGCATTCCCCTGAATTATCTTCTCTGTTTCATCACCAAATGAGCATTAGCTCTACCTCCTTCTTCTAATATGTCCCAGCTACAATTCTGATTTGAGATATTACTGTGCTTGACCATCACTGTGCTTGCACACTGTGATGACCACTCTCTAGATTCAAAGACCTCAGGCTCAGCTCAGTGCTCGACAGACAGAGCAAATGGCTGACCCACAGCCAGCTCAGAGGGAAATCCCTTGGCCCTGACATCCTTCTCAAACACCTCAGACCCAAGTTATCTCCTATCCAAGAACACAGAGAGAACCAAAGGGAATCCTGTGACTGTCTCTCTGAGTTTAGTTCACATGGGGGTTGTGGAGCCAAAATACTGCTCCCACTTAAAAGGTCTGACACAGAAACCATTTCTAGTGTCTTGATAGCCCAGGGCTTGCACAAGTATCCCTTCTTTGACACATATCACCAAAGCATGTCCTTCAAGTTTACTGTAAAAATATGAATATCCACTTTCAAATACAGGTAAGAACTCTGCATGCAGCTCGGAGTGAAATAATTACTGTAGTGTTATAGCTCTCTTAGAACTTGTCTAGCAGACTTTCCAATTTTTGCTAGAAAGCCCCTATATGTAATTTTTTTTGAAAAATCAGTTGCTTTATTTGTTGATATTTTGTCAACCAACTGAAGGATAAAAGTATATTTATTATTACAACAGTAAAATATTATAATAATCAATGATTGTGAACATATTTTTAAGTACAAAGCAATTATTAAGATGTCTCATTGTAAAATAAATTCACAGATTGACAGTTAACACAAATATTAGGGAAAAACATTTTAGCTAGATTAGGAAGAACATCATATTCTTTTTTTCTTTTTTTTTCTTTTTTTTGAGACAGAGTCTCGCCCTATTGCCTTGGCTGGAATGCAGTGGCATGATCTCGGCTCACTGCAAACTCTGCCTCCCTGGTTCAAGCAATTCTCCTGCCTCAGCCTTCTGAGTAGCTGGGATTACAGGCACCCACCACCACGCCCGGCTAATTCTTGTATTTTTAGTAGAGATGGGATTTCACCAGGCTGGTCTTGAACTCCTGACCACAGGTGATCTGCCCGAATTGGCCTCCCAAAGTGCTGGGATTACAGATGTAAGCCACCGCAACTGGCTAAACATCATATTCTTTTTGAGCTAACAAATGTTCTAGATTTTTAAGTAAAAATACAAAGCAGAGTAATAGATATTAGATTACATCATAATTCTAATATTGCAAGGTTACTTGTTCTGGCATCATGACTTAATTTTTAATTTTTCAAATAATTTCAACTTTTATTTTAGATTCGGGGGTACATGTACAGGTTTGTTACATGGGTGTATTTCGTGATACCTAGGTTTGGGGTATGATTGATCCCATCAGCCAAGTAGTGAGTATAGTATCCAATAGCTTTTCAAACCTTGCTCTCTTCCCTCCTTCCTCCCGTCTAGTGGTTTCCATTGTCTAGTGTTGCCATCTTTATATCCATGAGTACCCAATATTTAGCTGCCACTTAAAAGTAAGAACGTGTGGTATTTGGTTGTCTGTTCCTGCATTAATTTTCTTAGAATAATGACCTCTAGCTGCATCCATGTTGTTGCAAAGACATGATTTCGTTCTTTTTTATGACTGCACATCATTATTTTGAACAAACTAATTCTGTGATTTGTGCTTAATTTTTAATTATTTAATTTCACAAAGTGCGCAGGCTAAATAAAGCCTCTATCTTGCTTCTACTCTAACCCTAATGATGAATGAGTCTGGATTTGGTGCTGAAATGGACAACATAGTGACTGTGGATGCGATCCAGCTGCTGACAGAGCTGTGAAATTATTCCTACGGTCTCACAATGCAACGCTTTTAAAGTTTAAATACCAAAATTTACAATAATAAAATTTTAATAGCAATCTCAACTTGTTTTTGCATTCCAGAGATTTAGTCTATGATAATGATTTCTGTCTTTGGTCTTATCTTTAGTTGAATAGTTTTTTGGTTGTTTTGTTTTGTTTTTTGCCATTTGGCCTTTTTCCACTGGGCCAACATGTATACTTGGTAAACCTTTACTTTTATTCCATCTACTTGTATCTTCTCACAGTCCTGACTCTTTCATCTAGAATTTCAAATTCTTAAGTTCCAAGTCTGCAAAATTGCCTTTCTGTTAGCTCTTAGATAAATCACAGGAGCCTATTACATGATTCCAAATCCAAACAAGCGGAAAAAAAAAAAAAAAATCAGAGGAAAAAAAAAAAAAAAAAAAAAAAAAAAAAAAAAAGTGGCCGGGCATGGTGGCTCATGCCTGTAATCCCAGCACTTTGGGAGGTGAGGTGGAAAAAAAAAAAAAATACATCAGAGGAAAGTTTTTCCCAAGAAATAACAATAGTACTATTGTATTTCTTTACGACTTTCTCAGGACTTTCATAAACATTATCTCCAATTCCTGATTCCCAGACCTCTGGACCTATAATGTAACCACAAGATAAGATAAAGGAATTCACCTTGGCTAAACTGTTAAATATGTTTAAATAAGGATTTCTAAAAATCACCCCCAGGCCTTTTCCTTCTGTATTTTCCTCTGGCCTTCTACTTATTTGATGTCTTTCAGTTAAGTATTACCCCTCTTCATTTAAATTACATTCATATTACCCCCATTCATTTGAAAAGATAGCTTCATTTACAAAAGTAATGAAATTATTGTCTTACCTTCATGTTCGGGGAAACATTCAGGGCAGAAGAAACGATGAAATTTTCCACTGTAAGGGCTGGATAAGTTTTCAGCAGCAGGAAGAGCTCAGCAGGCTGCCTGCCTCTCTGCCTCTCCCTGCTCTAGATTGTCTTGGCACTCATATATAGAGCAAGTGGTCCCAGGATTTAGCTCCTATCCCACCCACATTCTCCAATGACAGCAAGAGCCTGCCCTTGTACTCAATCTGTGCCTTGAAGCCAGATGCATCCTATCAATTACACAGGCCTTAGCTACAGCCAGCTGGGACTGTTTGGAAGTTATAGATATGTGTCTCAAAAACATATCTATAAATCAAGAAACACAGCAAATGTTCTCAGTTCAATGTTCAAGTGATTTTCAACCAAAGGAAACTCCGTGTAAGGCCAGGGATGAGCTTCTTGTTTCAATCTACTAAACTAAGTCGATGTTTTCATGATTCTCTCAAAGGGTGTTATACACCAGACTTTTGAGATTAAATATTTTGTGAGAGAAAATATCTAAATGCAGTTCTGTCACTCAAAATGTAAATGGAATTTTCTGGGGCAGAATTTTTCCCCAAACTACAGCCTAACACAACCCAATATTCATCCCTTCATGCTTAACTTTCACAGAATAGTCACAAAGAGCATCAATTATTGCAAATGTATTTGAGGACATCACAAATTTCCTCAAGAACTTCATGAAATCCTTTGATAATCAGATCACTGTGTTAAAAAGTTCTTCTCAAGGTCATCATCCACATCCAATTTCTCTCCTTCGCTTTTTGTCTTGCCTTATTCTACCAGGTCTTCATTTGTCCATAGCTTTGTATTAATTCTAGTAGGTCCCAACATCACTTTCGTACATTTGATAAAATGCTGCATTTTTCGCAAGATTTTAGATTTCCTATTCAAATTGAGCTAGTTTTTTTGGTTTTTGTTTTGTTTTGTAGCCACCATGCCCAGCTGAACTAACTCTTAATTGCAGAGTTGGTCTGCAATGTCTTTCAGAGTTCCTCATTAGAACTGAACCCAAATTGCCCACTGTAGTCTCTTGCTTGATAAAGTGCCTTGATTGACTTTCTTTTCTTTCCAATCTCACTTTCCCACCTTCAGCAGTGCTAAGATTATCTCTTAAAACAAAAGCAAACTACTTGCAATTGAATTTTTGTCTCTGAATCTACTTCTGGGGAAACCCAAACTAAGACAGCTGCTAAACATGGAGATGCATATTGAGAATTTAAGATGAGTCTATGGCATCTGCAATTTATGCAATTGGAGCTGAATAAAAAATATGTCAGGAGTCAGGGTCTTTGTGACAAAATTTCTTCCACAGAAATCACTAAAGGTTCAAAAAAGAGATGCAGATGCTTTGTCTCTAGAAAGCACCATTAATTTATGAGGGGACGATAGGGGTTGTCTCCATTATTCCAGTGCTTTGGCTACAGGAAGAAAAAGTCTAGAAAATTAAAAAATCTTCACCAATGGAATGTTTACTTATAAAATTTTTCTTAACTCAAATTTTATTTCTCACTTAACACTTATTCTACCTCACTCATAATGCACTAGCGGCTAGTGTCAGAATATTTGGTCCAACGAGCCAAACAAAACTGCTTTGGAAAGCCTAGGTGGGTGGATCATGAGGTCAGGAGTTTGAGACTAGCCTGGCCAATATAGTGAAACCCCGTCTCTACTAAAAATACAAAAATTAGCCAGGTATGGTGGCACACGCCTGTAGTCCCAGCCACTCGGGAGGCTGAGGCAGGAGAATCGCTTGAACCCAGGAGGCAAAGGTTGCAGTGAGCTGAAATCACACCACTGCACTCCAGCCTAAAGACAAAGTAAGACCCTGTCTCAAAAAAAAAAAAAAAAAAAAAAGAGTGAGTTCAATTAAGGAGTAAGGAAACCCATCATTGATGAAGGTAGCTTCTGAACCCATTGACTCTCTGGCACTACCGGCTTGCCCTGGGGGCAAGCTAAGCACACACCTGCAGCCATAAATAAAAGGTTTTCAAGCAGGGAATTGTAGGCATTTGCAATATTTGCAGGTGTTTACCTTTATCATGTAGAGGTGAGAGATGAAAGAATGAATACCAGCAGCATCTGCTACAGTTGGTTTGTATTTACATATGCATGCATGTATTAATTTGTTCATTCTGAATTTGACCAATATTTTCTAAAATGTATTGATAAGGTATCAGCTTTGACAAGTAGAAGCCTTAAGCTATATCCTTCCTTGTTTTTATTCCTTATACGCTATAAAGGACCATATTAGCCTATTTACAGAATATCCTTAATCTAGAGGATGATTTAGATGTATCTATAGTAATTTAGAACTTGAATTGTTCAGCTCAGGTATCTCATAGAGTACTCCATTCTGGAAGGTTTACAGAAATTTCCTTTCCTCAAATGCTTTGCACACTCCTACCTTCACATCTGTAATGTCACAAGAGCATTTCTTCTGTCTGCAATGTTAATGAGGGAACCAGTAGCACAAAGGCTCTAAACGCAGGTGGGAGGAATACTGTGGGAAGTTTGACTGCTGGCATAAGTTGTATGGACTTTATTCACACAATGAGTCACTGAGAACTCACCCACTGGAAGTTTTTAAGAAAGAATCAAAGCAGTGTTTTAGATTGATTGAAACAGTAGCTGTGTGCAGCCTACATAGAATAGCGAAGGAAGGGAAGCAGGAAGCATGACTTGGAATTTATTTCAGAGTTTATACAAGGGGATCAAGGCCTCATTTAAGAAGGGATAGACACAGCTGTCTGTACAAAAAATACAAAGTTAGCTGGCCGTGATGGCATATGCCTGTAGTCCCAGCTACTCAAAGCTGAGTTGGAAGGATCACTGTAGCCCAGAAGGTTGAAGCTGCAGTGAGCTGTGATCACATCATTGCACTCCAGCCTGGGTGACAGATCAAGGCATTGTCTCAAAAACAAAATCAGAAACAACAAAAAAAGAAGGGGCCAGGCTTTGTGGCTCACACCTGTAATCCCAGCACTTTGGGAGGCTGACGCGGGCTGATCGCCTGAGGTCAGGAGTTCAAGAACAGCCTAGCCAACATGGTGAAACCTTGTCTCTACTAAAAATACAAAAATTAGCCAGATGTGGTGACAGGCACCTGAAATTACAGCTACTTGGGAGGCTGAAGAAGGAGAATCACTTGAACCCGGGAAGGAGAGGTTGCAGTGAGCCAACATGGTGCCACTGCACTCCAGCCTGGGCAATAGAGCAAGACTCTATCTCAAAACAAACAAACAAAAAAAAAGATGAGGGGGGATAGACAAAAGAGCCAGAATAATTCACAAGGTTTAGTGGTTAAATGTGGTTTTAAGTCTGATTGACTCAGAGAATTGAAAGAATTTTAAGAAAAATTTAAAGGAGGAAGGAAATAGAAAGTCAAAAAGGAAGACATGGTTTTGGAAAGGGGACATTTTTACTTTGGGAAAGCATCTAACATATAACTGAAAATGTAGGTCTCTTTGGGAAGAGACAGGCTTCACCTATGTCTCTTGCAGGGGGACATGGGTGGAGCCGCTAGCAGAGAGGTGCAGAACTCAAATCATGGACTTCAGTGACTCTTCCAGAGACTGAACATAATGAACCATCAAACCACAAGAAATGCCCCTATTCATGGAGTAAAAAGAAAAATGCCAAAAAGGAGAGGTTACAGAAGAAGGAGAAAAACAAAAACAATGCAACATCAAGCCAATTCTGGAGAATTTCAAGATGGAGAGCCCAGTCAACGACTCCCAGCAAAATGCCCAGACTGAGATTTGCAAAGCACAATGCATTTAAATTAAATGTTCTGAAAGTTCTGGAACAAGTAAAACATTTTTGACTTTTTCAATCCACAATTCCTCAAGTTCACGTGACCCACTCCTCCGCCCGTCAGGACTTTTATTTCTAACAACCCCCAAAACTGGTATACAGGCATGCTTTGGCAAATGGTGTCTGAGCCAAAGCTAAATCAGTAGAGGGGTAAAGCAGATTTCTGCCAGACTGGGGAAGGGCCAGTAAGGGCACAGCCCTCTCCTCATCTCCTGTGACACAGCTCCTCCCCATTTGCCCTCGCCTCCTTTGGTAGCACTCAAACGCTCTTAACATCCCCAAACCCTAATGAAACTATTAGGCCACCGATATCAGGAAGCAATTCTGGTCCACCACAGGGAGATATTTGAAAACATTTTAACAAAGCTATTTCATTTACTAGTCATTTCATTTTGTTCTGAATTGTTCTAACCGATTTAGCTGACTCTGGGGGTTTCAGAGGAACAGACTCACTGGGGAAGAGTAAAAGCCTCCTTTTTCCTGTCTTGTATTGAGGCGGGTAAGGCCAGAATTGAACCGGCTGGGAGTTGGAGTGAAGAAGCAAGAGCATCCCCTAGTGGCAGACTACTCCAGGCCCTTGAGTAAAAGAATGGTATTAAGCTCTGGAGTTAAACCATCAGGAGGGAGTGAAACACAGTGAATCTTCCCAGGCTCCCAGGCAAGTGCTTGTTAAGCTAATAAGTACCCCAGGTGATATTTCTTTTTCCATTTGAAGTGTCACACTGTGAACAGTCTGAGAATGAAAAATGGCTGCCAAGCAATGCCTTATGCAAAGGAAGATTTCAGTAAAATGATGATTATTAAATGCTTTATCATTACACATAATAAGATGCTGCCCATCTCTGCTGCTAGCACTGCGTTAAATGCTGTGATTTGTGCATTAATTTAAAGTGAGGCTGCTAGATTAATACACTCTGTTGACATCCAGTTCTTCATAAGAAAGTTGCTTAAGGTTTAAATAGATTAGGAAATACAAGGTTTCACACTTTCTTTCTGGACAGACTTCTGGACAAATGCCAATGTGCTTTACCACACTGAACAAGCCTTTGCCCTGGTGACCCTGACGGCTGAAGATGGTAAGAATCAAATTACAATACGAGGAGATAAGACGTTTTGTCATTATGGTTTTTAATAGTGACAGATATTTGCTAAATTTAGGAGAAGGCCCAGATTTGTTTGGGTTTCTGAATGGCATCTGGGTTTTTCAGTTATTGCAATGCATATTATAGCAGTAGCCTGCAAGTACAAAGATACGTTTCATTTGGTTTAAATTTGAATTAAGTCAAACAGCTCTGAGAAGGAAGACATAAAATACAAAGATTTCAGTGGTTCTATCATTTCCTTATGAAGTCCTGTGGAGGAGGGGTAAAAAAGGACAAGGTCATTTATTTGATCTACACTTCAAAATTGTGGTGCCTAAACAGAAAGTTGTTATTTTCA